TTCCTGCTTACTGTTGCCGCCCTGAATAGTCGCTCTTGGTCGTTTGCTGCTGTTCCAACCCCTATTGGCTGTCTTTCAGTCGACCAACCTCCACTCCTTCCTGTCGCAGTCCCTTGCAACTTCCCTAATATCCGAACTAGTTAGAAAATCAATGGAAACAAAATCAATTTTTATTAATATTGAAATAGGGTTACAACATGACACAAACGGAAAGGGAACAATGATATATTAATCTCTAGCTCGGGCCAGGAGAGAAGATCCTTGACGGTGGTGGTGTCGACGAAGTGGTAAGGGAGCGAGTCAAGATCGAAGGTTGTGAAGGGGTATCGAAGGGGTGATTTGGGAGGCCAATAGATGGGTTGGGGCGAACATTAAGTGGTTGGACAGTGGGATTTGCTACATGGAAAGTGGCGGTTGGCGTGGGGATGAAGTCTGGAAAACTGGAAAGTGAGGTTATGTTGTTGGGGAAGGCAGGTTGGGTGTTGGGATGAAGTATGGGGAGCTGAACAGTAGGTGATGTCGTAGGGAAGGGCTGGTTGGGTGCTTGGAGGAAGTCTGGGAATCTGGAAAACTAGGTTTTGTTGTTGGGGAATGGCGGTTGGGATGAAGTATGGGGAGCTGGACAGTCGGTTATTCCGCGGGAAAGGGATGGCTGGGTGTTGGGATGAATGGGAGGCTGGCAGTGAGGAGAGGAGGAGAAAGGTTAGCTAAGGGTAAAAAGGAATATAGAACACCACATTGGAATAGGATACTGACGGAGCACCGCTACCTCCTTAGATACAACCCCTACAAAAGGGAAAATGACTCCACACAGGAAATCTGAAAGTAAACACAGCAAAAACTGAAAAAAACATAGCCACCCTTATTTATAATGAGAACTATGACTTATTTTAGGCAATGTTTAGAATAAGAAAAAAGAACATACATGATAAGAATTCATATTAGGCAAGGACGAATAAACTAATAGAATTTCATATTATGCAAGAATGAGTAAAATAAATCAGAATTTAGACTTGATAATTACTTATATTAGGAAAGTACTAGGAAGGAAAGATTAAGGACGAAAGGGAAAGGAGAGGTATATGGTCAACAACCCCTCCCCTTGAGGACCCCTTGAGGACCGGCCGGTCCAGCAAAGTTGGACCAAACTCTCCAAAACGGTTCTCTATAGCAATAATACATTTATCCTGCAAAATAATTCCGCAAATCTAAACTTATTGAATAATCTGCCATTTCACCCATTACATCCAGTATTCAGGAGCCCTCACAAGTTAGCCGAGTAAACTCCATTTAGATTATTTTGCTGTCGCCATCAAATACGGATGTCTATTGCTGCAATTAGATGTAAATCATAATAATTGGATAACAACTAATCTCAATTAAAGAAAAGTTTATCTATTACAATTTAGGAAACTCTGCAAATTTAGTTGTCATGACAAAGGAAGCTCTATATAATGGAATATGCCCAAGTTCTATCCTAAGTTTGCTAAGGTATTGTTTGATTATATTTTTTATTTGCGGAATTATTTTGTTAAGTATTTGATGCAAATTAAAATAGATAGAAATTAAAATTTTTAATTATTTTAAATACATTAATAATGCAGGTTCACATAACAATAATACATTTATCCTGCTAAGTGAGGTCTGCTTCATGACTCCTTTTTTCCATGCAAAAGAAATGTTGCCAAATTCGGCAGTTTTAAATTTCACTCGTATCATGTTTTCGACATGCATCTTTGAAAATCATTTCAAGCTCGCTCTTTACCATTGTAAAATTGCTCATAACAAAACTGCTTAAAGTTGCAGCCTTCATGCTTGGAAGGTCATTCGCGTCATAGTCGCACTACTTTTTAATAATGTTGCCACAAAACTTGAACTACTTTGTGGCTTTCTTATCCTTCTTGACTTCTGATTATATCATCGAACTTGTTTTTTAGCCTCATAGACTTCACGTTATGGGACCATTGCTGGCTGTCACCTTCGCTACCTTTGTCAATCTAGATAACTCATCTTCGTTTTATCTTGCGACATATTCACACTTTCAAAAAAAGCCTCTTGTTTTAAGATTATTTTTTAATGTAGTTAAATTAAATAGAATCATGTTTTAAATTCTATCCTCACTGTCCATTTTTTTTCAGTTTATTTTTCGTTTTAGGAAATTATCATTAAGTCTTTATTTTGTTGTCTTTAGCATATTAAAGCATTGCATGGTGCTTGATTTCAACTATGAAAGAGGAGGTAATCTAATTGTTAAATTTTGATGACGCATAATACTATAAACTCATACCAAATCAAACCGAAAAATATTTTCTTTTTCTTTTTTTGCATTTATTTTATCAGCAATCAAACAATTCTAATGCATTTTGAACAGATAAATGCTCTTAATACTTACAGCTAAACTACCCCAAAGTGTTGGAAGTTGTATAATAGAGGGGTATTTGCAAATCTTTTCCTTTACAAGATTTTTGGCACACAATATGTTTATACTTTTTGGTCATCCAAAGACTATTACATGTTCATGGTGGTTTTATATCTGAGTTATTTTAGGTAGCGTGATTTGATCTCTAGCTGCATATTATCTTTATCATTGAACTGGGCATTTAACAGCTTTGTTTTATTATGATAACTTAATTATCAAATGAAGATACTGTAAAGTTTTGAACCTAGGGATCATTTTCCTTAGTTTTTTATGTCATAATGCATAAAAAGATTATAGAATTTGTAGGAACTGCGGATGTACAACCCTGAATACCTGGAGCGGCCTTATGTAGTGGTTTTAAACAAGATTGACCTTCCTGAGGTAAATCCTTTACTATCTCACATTTATCTTCTTTCTGCGCTTGGATATTCTTTTAATGAGGCTCATTTATCTATCTGTGAGCATTCATTATATTTTTCTAGGTATCATTTCACTTAGATCGCCATTAAATTTGCCAAAATATCTACACAGGCTCGGGATAGGCTGCCTTTGATTGCCCAAGAAATAAGGACAATCGGCCGTGTGGAAACCCCTAAAGTGGAATCGGATAAATCTCTACCTAACATAATTGGCGATGGGAATTTGTTGGCTTCGTTATCTATGAGGGAAGCAAAGGAAAAGGACATTCAGGACTATCCAGGACCTCTTGCCGTTGTTGGTGCTAGTGTATTGTAAGATACTTGCTCCTCTTCTATCTTACTATTAGTTTGTCTTTCTACGTGTTGCATTTCTTTAAATAAATTTCTGAGGCTGTCCAATGGTTTTCCTGCTTTATTTTAAGATAAAATAAAAACATATGCAGTAAAATGTAGAGCTTAGAATGATATTATGTTGAGCCAATTAGGCCGTTGCTCAGAGATTGGATATACCTTAGTTATGTTCAATTTTTTGTTCAATCCTTTCAAATCATTACCAATCTTTTATCAATTTGGCTTGTGATTTGAATCCTAAGGAGCTCTAATTAAATTATCTTCGAATTTATTTTGACGGCCTAAATATCTAAAGGGTTTAGGTAGACATATGCATTCAACATTTAGTAGATCATAAATGATAAGTCAAAGTGGAAAGAGAAATATTGTCAAGCGAAATTATCAAAAACTTGTGAACTCTGAAAGAATCTTACCAAATACTGTTGATATGTTTATTTTGGCTTGAATTTTCAAATGATATCTTAGATTTTTAGATAACATATTACTTAGAGATTTCACCCTTGTAAAATATTTTATGATCTGATTAGAGATTTTAAATAGTTTCAAGCGCCGATAATTAATTATCCATCTCAACCACGGGCGGGCACTTTTAATTAAAATTATAATATGGGCTCTGCGAAGCATTATTTTTAGTACCAACAATTCAGATTGGAGGAAGAAAACTTTCATCCTTGTGCTCAAAGTTGTTCATGGGGGCAATGATGATATATCCAATCAAAAACTTAATGATTACATCAGGTGATGTTGTGAAAGACCCTAGTCTACTTAGTCAGTGGAAGTAGTCAATTCAACTTGACTGAATGATCCTTGTCAACAGTCACAGGCTGCATTAACCCTGAATACCTCGTAGTCCTAGTGTTAGAGCTTGTTGAAGGTGTCAATTTCAAATCCGCCTATGGCCAAAAAATGGGCTTTATGCATATTGAGCGTGCCTTATAGCTTAGAACTCATAGATTTAAACATTGAGGAACATTCAAGCTTAGGTCCTAATTCTAATATTGTTTTGCTTTTGTAATAAACTTAACCATCTAGTCAGGTGCATGTGCTTAAGTTTTATTGGCTTTTGAGTTTTGAGCACAATTATATTGATATGCTTAATAAGATATTAGCTCTTTATGAGCTTTGATTAGGCCTGAATTTGTCATCTAATATCAAATTGGTCCAGTTGTTGTTACGAGTGTAAGTGACAATTATTATTTGAGCTTTTAGTTTTTCTATATTTATATTTTCATTTAACTTTATTTACGAGGGCTAGATTTAGGCAAGAGTTTTGCTTTAATGATTATGTCCGTCATTGGGAAAAGATCCTAAATTTGTATTCATTTTAGAATTTTATATCATTTTTGTGGATACTCTATAATTATGATATTGACTTCTGTTTGGAGTTCAAGCTAGGGAGTGAGTTTGTACTCTTATTAAAGTGTTTTGTAGACTTTTCGCAGTAGCATGATGTGGAATCTATTATTTTGGAAGAGTGTAGTACTTTGGAGCTACCTTTTATTTTCCCATTGATACTAACGTGCTTTACTTATTGACATGTGCGTAGAATTTTGTCTTTAGGTGAGTTAGGATATTTTTTGTAACGAACATTTATTTTCAACTCTACTTAATTTCAATCAGACTTCGCCTCATGAAATGAATTCCCTATCAAAAACTATGAATGCTCATTTTATGCATTTTTATTGGCACCTCTGTAATTAGAATGCACACTCAATTTAATAGTTGTGCACATTTGGTTGCATTTCAGTCCTTTGCACATTTTTTTACTTGAGCAGGGTTTTTTTTAAATCATTTGCATGTCGATTTGTGGGTATGTATTGCATATAAAAAGTTTGTTGATTGCTTGAAAGTATGCTATTTTTGTTCTCACTAATTCCTCAATAGTCCCGTGAAAGTATGCTATTTTTTTTAATCATTGCATTGTAACAGCTCGTTTGAGTTTGTATCATGTAATAGTTGTGTGCGTTTGGTTGCTCGCATAGGTTGGTGGGTCGCTAAAGTTCATGCAAATCCATTTAATTCGTCTTTTTTGCTCTTCTTTAATCTATGTATAAGACATTTTAAGGCCTTCATTTTGTCTTATTCTTGCACTTTTAGCCTTTTTTTTTTGGCATTTATTTAGCCTTGAGAACAATTTATCCATTTTCCGTTCAAATAAAGTGGTTATAAGGTATTTGGATGAGTAGCCTTTGTGTCAGCGCTAGGAAAGACGAGTATTGATGATTTAAGATATTTTTGCACAAAGAAAGATCAAAATAGTATCAATAATAATCTCTTAACATGCCAAGAAAGATGTATTTTTGTATTGTGTAAGGGCAATTTGATTATTCCATATATTTTGTACGAGGTCTTATGTGCTTGTGAGAAAATGGACAGTTTATAGAGATGCAGAGGTGGTGAGAGAGGTGAGTGGGCGAGGAGAAGAAAATGGGCATGAGTGTTGGGATTGAAGGAGAAGAGTGAAAAGAGCTATGTATATATATATATAAAGGGTCCCTTGGGGAGTGAATTTATAAATCTTTATTTTATAGGGCGAGAAGTCTCCTTTATATTTATTTTTGAGCTTTTGATTGATTTTCTTTTTGTTTCTATATTTCTATAATTTATTATTATCATTATTATTCTTACTTGATTCGAGATATTTGCGTGCACGCAAGCAACCTTATATGCACGTCACTCATCCATCATGCCATAATAACTCAGGCAATTCAAGAGGGTTTATTTGGACTATTTTGATGTTCTAAATGCATCATGACAATTTATTCGTTAGAATAAGTGAAAAAATTAAAATACTCGGAGCAAATTTTTTTATGAAGCTATACCTATCTTTGTTTTCATATTTATCTCAATCAACTTTTCGATCATATGTGAAGGTAAATTTGATCATTTCCATCCCATTTCCAGTTCTTTCTCAAAATCTTCAAAATCTTATGCATATGAGGTTTGTATGATCCAAACATGGATTCAAGTTAAACTTGGTCTCGTCTTTGACGTCTCGAGCTCTAGTGCATATATCTAGTTTGAGAATCTCGGGACAAAGATTGAAAGCTTGGGATGAAATTTATTAGTGTTTGGATCTCTGATTTTATGTTCTGAATGGTTAGATATTGGTTGGCCTTCAACTTAAGTAAGATTTGGATCTTCTTCTAAACTCTTCACATTCAGTGTTTCATTAGTATTTGTGGGGCATTTACATACATTCAACCCAATTCCTATGTATTTACTTATCTAAATCTAAACTTAGCTTCTTATATATATATATATATATATATATATATCACCCAAAACTTTCATATCACATAAAGAACTTGGCTAATTTAACTTTTACAAAGTAAAACACACTTTTTCATGCAGAGGTAAGATGGGAATGTATATAAAAATCGAAGTTTTAGGTGTTAGATATGTAAATACATAGGAATTGAGTGATATGTATGTAAATATTCCTTCAGTTATTTTCTCTGTAAGCTTCCTCACATCCAGAATAGGCATTTTTCAGAAAATGTTCATATTTTTTTTTAGCTTTTAAGGAAAATACATCTTCACATCATAAGAGAAGGTAGAAATAATACAAAATGACAACCAAAATTTGCTAATATCGATGCAATAAAGACCATGGTTGAATCAGATTTTTATCTGTATTTTTATGATTAGCATCTCCACATCAATAATAAGCATATTTCCACCCTCTTTCATTCATTTTTCAAGTTCTCAACCAACTGATAATTTTCTTTTTTATTAAATTCTTATTAGTTTGATCGTGGCACGAATAAATACATTAGTTTGGTAGCTCAAAAAAAAAAATTTATGTTGGCTGTTAATTTATAAATTTCAATATTTCAGGTGGTCCTACATGTAATCATCGCTTTTTTTAATTATTTTTTTTTAATTCTAGCCCTCAATAAGTTCATATAATGGGAGATTAGTGTTGTGTAGGAGAGGTCTAGCCCAAGACACTGACAACAATTTCCAAGACTCATATCAATCGGACGACAATCACAAATATGGTCAGGATGGACTTCAAAATTCTTGATGTTGCTTTGAGATGAGTGCAGTGTAAGAGTTAACTTGACCATCCGTATATTGCACTCATCTCAAAGCAAATTCAGGCATATTAAGGTCCATTCCAACTAAACTTTAGTTAGGATATTTCAATCGAAGCTCTCTCTCCTTTCAGTCTTTAATTCCCACCTTCGTGACCGAATTCAAGAATGAGTATATTTTTAAAGGGGATATCGGTTATATACAATTCGTCCGGATGGATATAAATCATTGGATCTGTTTTGAGATGGGTTTATTATATCAGCAATTAATATTGCACACTAATCTTAAAGCAGGTAAGTGCTTTGAGCTTCATCTCGATCTAAATTTTGGCTTACTGCTTGGCTTTTTCAAGACTGCATTCTTCAGAGTTTCGACATTGTTAGGGAAATTTACATACAATGAAAAGGTGCATTTTTTCATTGTATTTACATTTCTAGTTTGATATTTATACTTAATAACAATTTGTTGTCATGAACCTATACGTGAAAAGGTGCACTTCATTTTTAATAAGTTAGTAGTAGCATTTTTTTATCTGTATTTTATCATTGTTAGTGTTATGTGCCTGCATGATATATAAATACGTAAAAATTGTCTGTTATGTATGTAAATGTTGTTTTTTTTTCCCGTAATTTACATACATGGCACCCAATACTTATGCATTTATGTATCTCACATAAACTTTTATTTTAACAAACACAGCATCCAAACTAGTACTTATCACATTTTTCAAAGTGAAATTCACATTTTCATACATTAGTAAGGTGTTGTATTTGTAAATATGAAAAGTTCTGATGTGCAATGTGTAAATGCACTAGAATTGGGACCTACAATGTAAAATTTCCGTTTTTTTTTTTTAATTTTTTTATTTATTATGCAATGGATTCCCAATTTTCTCCACCAGTTCTGTAAGGATGAAGGTTTTTCAAAATGTTTTCAATTTCATCCTAAATTTATAGCAGGTTCCTTTTTGTAAATTTAAATATCAAATATTAGTTAAAGCTATGTAAATACATAAAAATTATGTGGTATGTATACAAATTTCTTTGTGATTCATTAATCCAACTCTATGTATATAATAACTTCTTTTTTTTTTTTTTTGGGTTTTCTTGTAGAAAACGAATTGGTGTTGATGATTTCCTTAAAGAGATTCGAGCAGCCCTGAGGAAATGCCAGCATCTTGACAGTACAAAAGCCGCAGCTAATAGTAGTGATTCTAAATAAGGCAGTGAAACTGCTTTATTAATTCAGCCTCTGTCAGATTGCTCCTTTGGTTCTCTAAAAGTTTCCAAGTAAACGGTTTCTATTCTTATGACAATTTAAGCCCTGAAAATGTTAATATGTTAATAAAACAAAAGTATCAGAAATAAAAGACTTGAATTTTAGGAAGAGCTAAGAATAGCGTTAAAGTCAATGCTGGGTTGTTTATCAAATATATGGTTAGGGAATCATGTTAAAGGAGCTACATATTCAGCTTAATTTTGAGTATTTTATGAAGCTAGGCTTAAATAAAACTGTTAGCGAAGATGTAAATAATATTTTTTATATGCTACGAGAACTAAAAATAAGAATTTTCCCACCTGCACAAAATCATATAAAAATTTTAACCGAAATGGAATCAATCAATTCAATCAACAAAATAAAATCCCCTCATCACTAAACAGCTTTAAGCAAAGAACATGCTTATAAAGAGCATGGCTTGCAGCATGCTCTCCCTCTGACGTGTTGATATTTACTTGCGGCACAATTCTGTGTTTACATCTAAACTTTATGTTTACTTGTAAAAGTTTATTTTGCATAAATCTTTAATTATAAATAAGACTTTAAAAGTGAAATATGCATATGGACGATGGCAGATAAATATTAAAGTAGATATTAGGGGTTGGATATGTAAATACAATGGAATTGAGTGGTATATATATGTAGATTTCTCTCTTACGTACGTGCGTTAAGAGATACAATCAAATTTAGATATTATTTAAATATTGAGGAAAATAACAAAAGCCTAAGAGTCCTATAGATATCTTAATTTTTGAATACAGCAGACGAGTAAAGTAAACAATATGCATATTTGTATGTGTTCAGAATAAACGATTAATATAAAATATCAAAATAATGCTGTCATAAAAAGGTTATAAACAATAAAATATGACCCATTCTATGTTACCTACATGAAATTTGCTTTAACCCTCTTAGGGGTTCATACAATTATTGAAGCCAGGCAGCCTTGCCCATATTATATCTGTGATATGACTATACAGCAGTATATAAAATATAAATATAAAAAGAAAAACAGAACAAAAAAAATAATAACAAAAATAAATGTTACCAAATATTTTTGCTCTACGGTCCGACTCTTGAGTATACCTGCATAAACTGGAAAGATTTTAGCATTTTAAATCTAGGCGCATAAACATTTTAAATCTAGGCGCAATATACATATCCAAAACCAAAACATTTTACGTCTGTACCACTCATGTCAACTTTCAAATAAGTGACGACACATTTTCGTTTGCATAGATAAGATGATATATATGTAAAAAATTAAAGTTTATGTATTAGATATGTAATAAATAGGAATTGAATGGTATGTATGTAAAGGTTCCTTAAAACATGTAAGAATCAATTAAAAAAGGTTTCGGAAGTGTATTCCTACCAGGTTTTAGTTGGTTTTGGCACGTTTCCACACAATCACGGTGCCTTCTGAATCAGATGAAGCTAACAAATTCTCACCATAATTCCAGGCAACCCCAATCACAGGAGATCCATGACCCTAAAAAGATGTATTACAGTTGAGGCACCAGATCCAATAATGAACAAGTAGATAAATGAAATGCTTTTCAAACTCTCAAATCTTTGATGAGTGAATGATCAAATGGAATTTTACATATATACCATACCACACATTTCATGTGTTTACATATCTTAAATTTGTAACACTTTGGTTTTATAAACCTAAAGCATGAGAAGATGGGTTTTAGTTTCAAAAAGTTAGTAATAGTGATTTTTTTTTTAATGTTGAAGATTTAAGTAGTACGGATGTAAATATGAAAGTTCAGGTTTCAGATTTATAAATATATAATTGCGTGGTGTTATGTTAATGCCCCATGATCAAAATAAATTATATAGTTGCATCCATTTTAATATTTATTTTTTTTAGTGCCCAATTTAGATCCTCACCTAACAATTATGGTTATTCAATCATGTCTCGTTTGGAATTGACAAAATCTACTCGGGGGATTCTTCGAGTGAGGGCAACTTTGAACTTTCAAGTTGCGAAATAGAATAAGGATTCTATAACATGATGAGAGGTCTCGTACTTTATTGAGCGAACCAATGAAGCATTGAGAGCGTTAGAATCCATTAAAATGATAAAGTTCAGATGTAGCGTAGAGAGAGACACAAATGAGATCCCCACAAGCAATTAAAAAATATCCTCAGCATTTGCTTCTCGTGCTAGTTTCTATCAATTCCAATCGAGCGAATGACATTAGCACTAAAAATAAATCGGATTTGACTAATTGAGGGATTAAATTGAACATTAAAAAAATCTTAAACTAAAATGGGCTCACCTATACAGTCTAGCAACCATTTTATCAGTTACTCCATATGTTGTACATATTGCTTGTCATTTAGGAGTTATTTGGTTTGCTGAAAAATGATTGCAGTGTAAAGTGTTTGAAGCACTTTGAAAGTGTTTGGTTCTATGTAAAATAAATCTAAGATTATACATTTGCTTATTTGTTTTGAAGAAAAATGATATCAATATAAAATGTGGCCGGTGGCAATGAGGTGGCTGACCGGCGGGTGAGCAGTGACCAACCGGCAGCATGCAACACTTTACACAAAGTTGTGTATTTGAAATTCGCTCAAATCCAGCAAATTTCAAATACATCAAAAATGAAATGAATTACAAATGCAATGTAATTTTACATTACATTGGAATTCATCCAACCAAACACCCAAATTTCTAAAACTCATGCAAAACAAATGCAATGCACTCATTTTGCAACAAACCAAACAGCCCCCTGATTTTTACTCCATGTATAAGAAATGGGGGATATGTTGGTTGCTGTATGTTTTAAAATGGGAAAGAAAAGAGCATTAAGCAACAAGTAGACTGTTCGGTAAGGCAAACCTGCAACTTATTCACGCAGGCATGTTTCGGTCGTGTCAAATCATAGAAGTAAACATTTGAATCCTCACTGCCAGCAACTTCATCAAAAGTAAAATTAATATTAAAAAAATTGGAGCAGAAGCGGAATAAAAGTATAAGAACATGAGTTACCATTCTAACTACTCTCAAATCAAGGCATCCAATGGAAAAAAATGAATGGTCATCAATGCTAGTGTTTTTTTTTCCTTAAATAGTAATAATTGGAGAAATTAAAGCTTAAAAATGTTAGGGCATTTGCATACATATTCTTACATATTTACATATCTAACACCTAAACCATTTATATTTACTAGTGTACTCTTCAAATCTTTAACATCACATCAAAAATATCACTATCACTATTTTTTTAAAAGTGAAATACACGTTTTCATACATAGGTTCATGACGCCGAAGTGTTATAAGTAAAATACCAAACTTTGAGCGTTAGATATGTAAATACATAAGAATTGTGTGGTATGCATGTAAATTTCCCTATTTTTTTCTCAACAAGCCTTCATTTGATAGTAAATTGGTTCGATAGGTCACCTCTAACAGCTTTTATTTCTTCCATCCAATTCAAGCAAATTTTTATATAGATAATCAATAATTAGTTGGTGTTTCCTTCGTTCGATTATCTATCCGTCAACAATTAGTTAGCGTTTCTTTTATTTGATTTTTTTTTCTCTAATGTGAATATTTTTGTCTCGTTTTAGCTCTCTATGATATGAGTAGCATGCGTGCATCCTGATTGAAATGTAAGGACCATATTTTCATAATGTGTAATCATTCAACACTATAATTTCATAATCACTAATGCACACCGGAACTACTCATTGGTTATCAAAATGCCTAGTGTCAATTCCAGACTAAAAAGCACACCTGAAATCAATCCTGTTCAATTAATATATGATATTTTAATAATTATCATAAGTTTTATTCCAACTATTTGGGTTAAATTTATGATCCTAGAACTCATGAAGCTATCAAGTGCAAATCTTTTTACAAATTCAATACCCCTACACCGATGCTGAGATCGGTTATTTAACAACATAACTGGAGAGGTTGCCACTTAATATATACATACATACATACATGCTCCAAAATAGTACCCTTACATACACACATGCATACATACATACGTACAGACACACATACAAACATACAGACATACAGACATACAGACATACAGACACATACAGATATACATACAGACACGCACACACACACAAACAGACAAACATACACACATACATACATAATACATACATAATACAGACAGACATGCGCACACGCACACGCACGCGCACGCGCACGCGCACGCGCACGCGCACGCACACGCACACGCACACGCACACGCACACGCACACGCACACACATATACATACATAATACAGACAGGCATACGTACAGGCATACATACAGGCATATATATATATATGTGAGGGCGATAGATATCTATAAGGGTGACATGTGTGTGTGTGTGTGTGTGTGTGTGTGTGTGAGGGCGATAGATATATACAAGGGTGACACACACACACACACACATATATAAGGGTGATATTTGAGAATACCGCTCTCCATATGCGCTATCCGTCGCCGTAGAGATCAAACCCGCGTCATAGGGGTCTTACGACTGACAACGTGGTTGCCTACCAACTTGTCACCCAAGGGTACACTGTGTATATATCTATATATATATAGCTAGAAAACCATACAACTAGCTACTTTATGCTCATAGTAGCCACTCATCTATCATCCACCACTTTATCGAGAATGACAAATCTAATTAACAAATGCCACAAAATTAACATCATATCAAGTATATATCCACACTAATCACAATCAAAAATTTCATGTTAGTAAGCCCCTGCCGCATGTCGTATAATTGAATTATTACCCCAATTCTAACATCACCACTATATTTTGCTTCCTTCCTAAGCTTGATGTTCCTTAATAACTAAAGTTTATGAGTCATTAGTTATCAAATGCACCTGATAGAAGATGAAACCATTTGTTAGCTAACAACAACTTAGAATTGATGTCTTTGTCAAGCGTCCACTAGGTTTATAAGGTCTCCTTAAATAATAAAAAACATAGTTATTAACAAAGATCATTCAATTAGTTTTAGTTAACTGTCTCTATTGACTAGATAGACTAGAGTCTATAACAATCCGATATGATGAAATCATGAAATATTGATCGAGATTATCATCACTTACTAATCATTAGCTCTAAATATTGATTTAGTTTACCAACATTTCCTCATCATTGATATAGGAGCGGTAGCTTGTCGTCTACTTTAAGTGGGATGTTGTAGCTATCATTATCTCATAGCAACATATCAAGGGTTTGAAAACATTTTAAAGCAAGATTTAATAAATCCTGTTAATCCCTCGAAACCCTAGTTCCCGTACCCCACTCTTGGTTCCCCCAAAACCATCGCTTGCTGACCCTTCTCGAGCTCGAAACATGACGATACAGTCATGACTAGAGATAATGAAGACAATGACAGGATGGCAACATGCCATGATCTTTGATACTCCCATCTTTCTCCCCTTTCCACTCCACTACTACCCGTAAACATTGATGAAGTTAACTCTCATCTTTCTACAAGGCAAAATGGATTAGACATGGGATTCGAGATCTTTTAGTATCTGTCTTTCTTGTTGTTTGACAGGATTTAGTTTTAATACTGCTTAAATTCCCCACAAATTATTGACAGCCTATTTGGCATTGCTTGTTAAATTGTGCTAAAGCATGATAAATTTTTGGGCTATTTCCTTTAGAATTTACTATTTTTTGAGTGAGAGAATTCATTTCTACCTTTTGTTATTTGGTAGGATTTAGTTTAACTGCTGCTTTCTGCACAAACTCTGTTACCAACAAACTTTTTGGCATTTGCAATTGTTAAATTGTGCTAAAGCATGATAAATGTTTGGGTTATTCTTTAGGATTTATTATTTTTGAGCGAGAGAATTCCTTTATATCTCCTTAATGATGGGAGTTAATATATATTATTTTAACCCAATAATGGAGCATAAGTGAGATTTATCAATTTGAATACTGCTTAAATTCCCCACAAATTCTGTTACCAACAACCTATTTGGCGTTGCAATTGTTGAATTTTGCTAAAGCATGATAAGTTTTTGGGCTATTTCCCTTGGGATTTATAATTTTTGAGTGACAGAATTCCTTTATATCCTGGGATTGATGGTAGTTACATTTTTGTTATTTAGCAGGATTTAGCTTAAATTTTGCACAAATTATGTTACCAACAGCCTATTTGGCATTTGCAATTGTTAAATTGTGCTAAATCATGATATTGTTTGGGTTATTTTCTTTAGGATTTATTATTTTTGAGCGAGAGAATTCCATTATATCCCCTGAACATTGGGAGGTAATATATATTGTTTTTATCCAATAATGGAGTAGAAGTGAGATTTATCAAAAGACTTTTTAAACTTCCAAAAAACCATTTGGTGAGTATTAAGCTAAATTTGTTTCAATGTTCTACTATATGATACACAGCACATGATAAATAAGTTTCTGAGTGAAAAGTGATTGACTCATCATCATTGGCCTTATTCTGACTATTTGGGGTTGGCTTTATGAATCCTTTCTTTCATTCGTTTACAAAGGATTAGTGTTTTTATCTACATGCCAGGGTTTCAATGTCGCTCAGATGTGAAATAATACTGAAGTAGGAATTTTGTTTACATCCTCCTGGAGGTCGAACTTTGTACCGTCTTTCCTAATGGTATCGCTTTGTTTGAAGGAGTTTAATGAGAGAAAAATCAAATGAGATGGAAATAGATCGAGAAAGTTGAATTGAAATTAGTTTCCAACCATTTGTTTGGTTGAGGGGGAAAAGTGTGAATAACTAAATTTTAACTATTTGCTTCATTTGATGGAATAACCGGTTAATTGAAGAAATAAAATCTTATGTTAGTCATAGTGTTTATGAATGTAATCATAGGGAGAAATATGCATATGTTATAATTACCTGGGTAAAATGAACTTCTTATGCATTCAGGAGTGTTGCTGTTATGAATTGAAGTTTAGGTTTTAGATATGTAAACACATAGGAATTAAGTCGTGTGTATGCAAATCTTCCAAAATTAATAGCATCATATTGTATAATGATCTAAATACCTATGAATTCCCCTTTTTCGAGGGAAAGAAGAGGACAGAATGAAGCGCGGATGCTATGCAGCCTTGGAGAAAGTTTGAGCGAGCATAAAAGAGTCAGATAACCTTGTATCTCCAAGGCTACGCTGCACGAACCAAAATTCAGTTGTATATGAAACAAGAGAATCATATAGGGGGATTTACATACCTACCATCCAATTAATATGTATCTGCATATATAACACCAAAACTTTACCTTTTATATTTACAACACCCAAACCTTTCATTACCACCATTTTAACTTTTAAAAAGTGAAATACATCTTTTCATGCATAGGTAAGGTGTTCTGCATGTAAAAAACTGAAGTTTAGGTGTTATTAGATATGTACAGACATGGGAATTGACTGGTATGTATGTAAGTCTTCCAATCATATATAAAAACCTGAAGAAACAAAGATTGCCATCTTGAGCACACGCGAGAAGCACAGGACACCTAGCTACCAGAGAAAATGTACGATATTGCACTGTAGTAATTGGAGATTTACTCCTCATGCTCCTATTTTTATGAGACCTGGATATGGATCCTGTATGGGAGTTTACACTTACAGTGTATATGCTTCCCTGTAAATTCATTCCAAAAAGAAAATTGCAACATTCTGCTTTTATATAAGTTTATGCAGATAACTTGATCTCCTAATTTGATAAGAAAGCAGACCTGTGCATCTCCACAGAAAATAAGTTGTCCGGTATGATCATTGTCCATGGCTGTCAATTCCTTATCAAAGTAAACTTTTTTAATAACTCGGCCGGTGCTAAAATTGATGATCTGAAAAATGATGAAAAGGTCAAGGCAAAGTGATCAATATATATATATATAGAGAAACAAAGAAACTATAAAAATATTTTTGTTTTTTTTTTTTTTTGACAAATAATTGAGTAAAGCTTCTGTATATTGAAGAAGTCTTGACAATGACAAAACAACAAGAATTCTGGGAATATAAACTTGAGGGGTATAAGATGTTTACATTGATTTCTTTATTTGCATTGCAAACTGAAAGCAAGTTGTTATTTACCTGAAAAATGTAAGAGAAAGCTCTGGGTGAAACTGATAGCAAAGACAAGTTATAGTGAAGATGATACCATGTTAATTCCATAAAAAATTTCCCCATCCAATTTTATCAGCATAAGAAAATTTAACTCATAGATGTTCTTCAAAAAGAGAAGAAAATATAGAGCAATAGTAAACAAAGGACTTCATAAATTTAGAGTTCATTGCATATCAGATTCTAGAGATGCTACTTCGAAAGTAAAATTCTTATTCTTTAAACACAGAAAACCTCCACCATGCAGAAACGGATATGCTTTACCGTCTTTGCAGAATGTTTTTCTCTTATAGTTACAAGGATTTCGTAAGCATGAATGCCAATACAATCCTACAAATTACCTCAACCACGTCACTATTATGTTAAATGGTTCATAATATTTTCACAAAAGCAAAGTAGCTCATCTTTCTTATCATCACTAACCTTGACCTAAATATGAACAAAAAGTATACTCAGACTATAACGAAGCAAGAAGCAAATGATTTAATCGCTTCCCCAAATCATTCTGATACAATCTCTTTGATTTGAGATCTCTCAACTCCCACCCTCTTACAGCACAATATCAAACACGATTCCACAATTCCACTCGTGCCAACATAAACCTCACATAATTTTGTGTTTTATAAAATCACAATTCCCTTGCCATCCTTGTTTGATAATATGTATTCGCAGTTCTTCGTTAATCATTAATATGTACCATGAATCGATTAAATCAATATTATCACACCCCTATGGATGAGAAACGCTTGCTTTAACATGCAACAAATTAAAATAAAATAAAATAAATCATGCAACAAATATTCACGATTCCAGTTTAACTATTAAATGACCACAGCTAATTTATGCTTAGAAAATGTCAAATATCATATCAAACTTGGAAGCAAGTACTGACTCCTAACTTTAAAATTCATTTTCAAGTTTTATGGCATACCTTCACACTGTTAGCAAAGAATTTTACAATTACTAGATCTTTACTCTATCAAATATGCACTCCACTATCCTGTTTTAACATTGTGGGGAATGTTATAAAACACAGGGAATACTGATTCTTCTTTAAAAAGAAGTAACGTTGATGATATACAAGAACACAAAGGCCATCAACAAATTATTATTGGATATTCTTTGTTAGCCAGATTCAACCATGAAAGATCGATATCTTAATATAAAGACGAAACAGAGGAATAGAAAGGCCCACACAAACCCTAAACACATTGGAAATTTACTGCAGCAATGACAAAAAGAACATAATTGCATCCTTACCGGGTGAAACCTGATGCATAATTGAGCAGATGTCCCGTATATGACTCTAATACAATGACCTTTAGAAATCTCCCAGACTAGGACAGTTTTGTCCACCGAGGATGAAGCAATGTACTGATTATTTGAAGAAAAATCAAAATCTGTAATCTAGTTAGGCATTCACGTATCATACCTACATAAAACATAAGCTAATGCTACCAAAGAAAATAATAATATTAGGTTACATGACACAGAAGCTATAGAATTTGCACAAATAAGTTATTTCAATATAAACTTCGAAACTAATGCGGTTAAATTCAACAGTTTAGCAATACAACAAGTATAACTGATAAATGGCAGCCTCACATGTTAATAGGGCTGTCGAAAAAGCTTATTATTTGCGAACAACTCATGTTTAGTTCGTTAAGTTGGACATGTTTAAATTGATCATTAAGTAAGCGCCGACCACGAACAATTTTGTTATGATTGAAATTATAAATGAACCGAATACAAACAAACCATTGTTCGATCATGTTCGACTCGTTTTAACTTGAAAAAAAAGAGTTTTTTTTAATATATTACTATATTTAAGTTTAAATCAATACATCTCATGTGGTTTTGCATTTCTTATTGTATAGAAATGGTACAAATTTGAATCTAACACCCTAAATTTATTTTCATAATTAATTTAAACGAGTCAATTTTAAGTTGAACACGAAAAAGAATATGTAAATTGAGTCGAAAACGAATGTGGGCTCTAAAGATTAACGACAGCTCCCCGTGAACTCTCTCTGCATTTATTTTTATTTTATTTTTTTTGAGAGAGATCTTAGGAATAACTAATTTTCAAAAGTCAAATTGGATTGCAGATAAGACATTACCCAGAGATTTCGCCCTCATTTAGTAGAGAAATTTTTTCATAAGAAGCACTTATGCAGCTCTGCATGCAGACTTCAAGTAATATGTCGTCACGTAGAGGTTATTGAGGTGAAACCATGGAAATTATTGAGGGGTTATTGGGGTGTTATTATGAGGGTGTTATGGGGGTTATGCAGAGGGAGGAGATTATTGGGGGGTTATTAGGATGTTATTATGAGGTTATTGCAGAGTGGAACCGCAGAGATTTATTGGGAGATTATTGAGAGTGTAACAACGGAGGTTATTAAGAGGTCATTGAGAGTTTATTACGGTTTTATTTGAATTGATGTTTCAATAACCCCCAATAACCCTGAATTACTCTTCCAATAACCTCCACGATTCCACTTCAATAATCTCCATGGGAGGTGGGCCCGATACAGCACATGTTAAGGCATATTGCTGGAGGAAATACATAGTGTTGCGTACGTGTTTCGTATGTAATAATTTCTTCATTTAGTGAGGACTTTTTGGTCTAAAATTCGAAATTTCCCATAAGTGCATGCACTTATATGGTTAATTACCCCTCCTGATAATAGGAGAACACTTTTGATTAAGGTTACTCATTAAAAATTAAAAAATCAAACATATAATAGCAGCTGACTTAAGATTTAAGTTGTAGAATTCATTACTTGAAGTCTAAAGCGGATAATGGGGGAATGAAGATGAAACTCGATTAAGATTTCATGGTTTCGTCATCCTGGGTCGTCATGGACCCTGATATACTTAGTCAGATGAGGTAGTCGACCCAACATGACAGAAGGAGCCTTGTTAGCAGTCATGGGTTGGGTCGTGCAAGAAATCCTTATAGATCTAGGGTGGACGTTTGTCTAAGGGGATAAATTTAATTCGACCTTAGCTAACAGAAGAAGTTTTATGTCAATCAATTGTACAACTATGATTCACAAAAAGGTTGAAAACTATTGGGAAACATACAGGTTGTGGTTGTGACCGTAATATAATAGTGTCATTTTGCAACAACCATCCGTTCAGAGGGCTTTGGTTGTCACTGATATTTTGTGGTGTCATTTAGCGGCAGAATCACACGGACAGAGGATTTGGGTCACGTCCTTACTGGCATGCAATTACTTTGATAGTGAATATATTGATACATTGATATGACATTCCCACCTTTTAAGTTGCAGTCAATCAAAATTTTATTGCCCACAACAAACTATTACAAAGGGTGGATCAAATTTGTTTTGAGTTTTTAAGTGATTGAATTTTAACTTGAATATTTTTGATTTAAAATACTAACCCCTCTGGTTGAAATCTTCGATCAACGTGGCCGCGATCGGGGATTTAAGCATTTTAAAGCTTTTATATTTGAAGGGAAGATAGTTTAAGCTTTTAAAAGTATAAGTCTTGTTGACTCCTATCCTTATATGTAGAATAATCGGACTTGTAAATTATTATTTCAGAATTTAAATATTTATTAGGCCTTACTAGACTCGTTAAGTCCAGCCCTTACGAGAATGAGGGTCGAACTAGTGGAGAAGGACTTGCAACCCTATTCTATAGACAAGGCGGTCTAATTAGCCCGCGCAGCACTCTAGAATATAATATTTAAGCATTTAATATATTGGTTGGAGCACATGCGGGCATTGAAAAAATATGTGTAATTGATTTATTTATATAGACAACTTTAAGCATATACAACTCAAGAGTATCTTACGTGGTACTTATCTAAGTCTTGATAGTAGACTCACGTTTCAAAATATCTCATTTGACTTAAAAGATAATCATTGACATTATAAAGATTTTAAAAACATTGAAAGCTTGAGTACTTGCAAGAGCATTATGATTTTAAGGCTTAAAAAAGGACCATCTCCTATTTTCTATCCTGTGTATTGTGAATTCGATGGCTGTGGTGATTTTAATTTCAAATTTTAAGAAAATTTCATATTTAAATTATGCTTTGCCCCTTAGGAGTTCAAGTCTGAATAGCTCAATTACAAAATATTTTTAGATTTACTAGCTTAAATTTTAAAATCCAAATCTTAATATTTTAAGCCTTGAAAGTTTATATTTTAATAGCTCGTAACTTTAAATTTTTTTTAGATCCCTAAGAGCCTAAATATTCAAAAGCCTAAGTCCCCAATATTTTAAAATCCTAAGAGCCTAAATTCTGAAAGCTCGAGTCCAAATCATTTTAAAACTCGAATAAGTCAAATTTTATGTTATTTTATAAGCTCAAATATTTTTAAAATTTATATTAATTACAAGTCCAAATCACCCATAATTCCATGAGCCTTCGAAAGTCAAACCCCGTAAAAAGGCACGAGAGAATGCCAACATTCCCAATTATCACTAAAGAATCACTGGTCAGTGTCGTAAGATACTACAGTCGGGGAGCAAAAAGAGTATTTAACCTAAGATCTCAAAAGATGTGATGGGGTTTCAATGTACCTGCAAAAAATTTCAATTCACAAGCAGAGAGTTCCCTGATTTTAAAAATAACTCTCCAGATGAATTCTCAATTTTCCCCACCAAACAAGTATTTGTATTGTCCTCAAATGGAGGTTTTCAAAAAGAAGCTTCCCAATTGTCCCAATATTATACCTGCATGAAAGCATGAAACCCATATTTTAAAAGAATTCTCCAAACGAGTACACACTTTTCCACTCGGTTTTTCGAAAAAAGTTTCCCAATTGTCCCACCTTTATAGCTTTCGACTGCATTGGAGACGTCGACAGCAAGAATGAAATGAAAGTACAACACAAATTTCTATATTTTTATACAGCACAATAATAAAACAATAAAGTAAGACAAACAGTAAAGTGATTGTTTAGTGTTCGAGAAGATGATATGACCAGGTTAAGCTAATTTAATGCTCGGTCTCGAATACAATTGGGGAAACTCGGTTTTGATAGCAATATCGGGCTTCATAGCAAAGCAAGGAGCTTTCAAGAACGGCACAGACGGAGCAGGATTAATCGTAGGCTTAGGCTAGAGAGACAAAAGTGGGTTGAGGCTTTGGTGTCCGAATACTGAAGATTGCGCGACTCAAGAAGCGCAAAAAGGAAAAGCAAAAAGCGAGAAGAATCAATCGTAGGGAGGAAGAAGGATCGCGAGACTGTGTGGGCTCTAAAGCAGGGAACTCGCAGCAGTGAACGTTGATCGCAGCTGTGTGGTGCGGCATCGGCAAGGCTTTGGGCATTTGTTTCACATGAACAGGTGAAGTTTGATCATGTAGAGAGAATCGCGCGCGATAGAGGACAATCGGACGAAGTTTAGGGCAAAGCAGGCTTCTTGAAATTCGACATAAGTTCGCAGCAAGGGTTTCGATGGGCTAGAGTAGAGTTGTGGCTTGGTTTTGCGAGAAGAGCAGAGAGGGTAGACGAGACTGACAAAGGATTAGAGCGGGTTTATGCGAAGGTTCTCGACAGAGAAGGCTTGGCGAGGGCTTTTCGACATGAATGGGGAAGGGATTGAGTAGGCTTTAGGGGCAGCCAAGGATTTCGGACGGTGTGGAGGAAACAGAAGGAATATAGGGAAGCAAGTGTGATTTTCCGTTTACAGACCTTAGAGTTGTGAGGAGATGAGGGTGTGCAGGAAAGAGGAGTTCGGGCGGCATCGGCATAGGAAAAAAGGGACGACACTGTGCGGGAATTGAAGGACTACAACACAGTAATTTTAAGTCCTCGATTCCAAACAGGAATAGTACTTACGGCTTAATGAAATAAAGATGAAGGGAAGAATTTACACAATTGGGAAAAGAAGAACGATGAGAAAATACGGGCAAGAAATTTACCTTATGTGGAGTTAGAACAGGAAGAACAATATAGGCGAACAAAACTGTGACAAGTAGTAGAGAAACGGGAGCGAATACGTGGAACGAAAACAACCAAGAAGATAAGAGTTTGGCACGGTCAAGGAAGAAGAGGGGCTTTGTTTCGTTCGTCCCTTGTAACTGAGCCAAAGCGGGAACCGTTATCCCGTCGAGCGAAGTTTTGGCAGGAGGGATAAGTAATTACTTAATTAATTAATTAATTAATTTTTATTTTTTATCTCTTTTTTTGTGTTTCCCAGTAAACAATGAACACATTTTTCACAAGTAATTTCAAACACGAGCCAATTTCGAACATAATTAACTTTGAATGAACCAAACCTGAGCTTTGAGCTGGTTAAAGCTCAGCTCGTTTACAGAAATAAATGTTAATAATATGGTTACACAGTATGATTAGACTATCAAAGGAGCTTCCAAACAAGGAGTAATATCTTCTCTCGCTAGCAAACAACCTCCCCAGAATGCAGTTTACAATTATGAAACTAGAGTGCATTAAGACATTTAAAGGAATTTAAAAGAATTTAATTTACTTTCGGCCAATTCTAGAATTATTGATTGAATTTGAGGACGAATAGATAAATAAAAACAACTCAACATGTTAGCTTTTCATAATCATGGTATAAGGAGGTTTGAATCCTCCCCTCACAAAGGAGATTCGACAAGGACCGCTACTTGGTCCTGATAGTGAGTAACTAGAAGAGGGGTGATGAAGAGGAGTCAAATTTGGGGTAGGAAAGAAAAGAGTTTCTGGAATCACGCCGGTAAGGTTCTCTTGGCGTAGCATAGTCATTCATATTCATGATGAAAACAAAAAGTTTGATCAATAATGTTACACCATATGCTTCGGACATAAAAAAAATACTTACTAAAGAAAGCAACTTTTGCCTAAGATATAAAATGTTAACTTTTTTGATATGGTATGGTTTTATAAACTCCCTACCATCTCCTGGATTAATTCTGTATATCCATTGACAAATGCATGGACGACTTGAAGCTTCCAATATCTTCTTGTATTGACAAATAACTCCAAGGAAGAATAAAGATCAAAGCCCTAGTGTTTCTACCAAAAGTCTTATATGATCACTCATGTAATAGAACGGGTGCCTTCCTGTAGGCATAAGCTTACTTAAAGCCTAAATTGACAACCTAGAAAACAATCAAAATATTTTATACAAGTGACTTACAATATTTGTTTTAATATTATCCTGAATCTCCAGAATTCCTGGCGTTAATTGAGAGGATCAATTGAACATTCCAATATATCTATGCATTCACATTTCACAGTTTTCAAGAGAATGAAGATGATTTATGGGTTGTTTCTGTGTTGTTATTTATAATAATTCAATGTTTCAAGTGCAGTGTAAATTAGATACATTGTATACTGATTTGATTAGATTATCTAATTTGTTATAAAATGCACAATTGAACAGAGCGTGAAGAAAAGATAGTGGGGGCAATCACGTTTAGGGATGACATTTATTACTAGTTCAGTATGTTATTTATTATATTGGCATTGAGAATGAAATGCAGTGTAAATTTCATCCCTAGACAAGATTAACAATATAAAATGCACGACTACAATGTGTTCATCCTCGTCTCCTGTGTGTCCATCACCGCGCAGTTGACACCAACTTTGCCCCATGGCATTAGCATGTCATATGTCGTTAGACCCTAGGGCAGCCCCAATCGCCCTTCTCTTTCACCTCCAGTAGGCTTTTGTTTCTCTCATATTCGTCGTCACACTCGATCGCTTTCGTTGGCCTTTGTTAGGGTGCCTTCTGCATTCTCTATTCTTTCAAAGCAATTTGGTATTCCATCTTCTCCACATTGATTTCCCCCTTTCACGCTCTTGCTATATTAATGGATTCAATATGCACATTTTAAAATGGTTCCCTCATTTTGATTTCTAGATAGAACCTTATCACTCATGTTTGAATCTATTTCCGCAATTTGTGTGCACTATTTCAACTAATCATCTTATTCTCTTAGCACCCCTTTTTGAAAAGTCGTTACAAGTGAATACTACAACAATTCATTTTACTAGGCCCTCTGTGACGAGTCTTGGCAGAATTAAATGTTACATACTTGCTTCATAAAAAAATTGTGGATTAAATCGTAGTCTTCAAAACATTGACAGAAAGTGATATTTGAAAATATTCCTTCATATTGCTCATCTTGTCATATTTTTTGTTATCATTTTTTTGAATGTTTCCAAGCACATCCTAAGCTGAAGCTTCAAAAATTTCGATCACAAACTTTTCCATCTAATGCTCGGATTGATCTTCCTAATTGTTTGGTGAATGACCTCTCCTCATCTAATCAAACCTACTCTCAAAAATTTGAACCAAGATCATTGATTGATATTACTGCTCCTACTAGCCATCTGGAATCTCTGCAACTATTGATATGACCACTAATAATACTTGCAAGTTCTTGAAACGCCACAACTTCATCTCATTTGTGAAGACAATTATTCACCACAGCGGGACTCTGACTTTCATAATATTTGCCAGATGAAACTTTGCGAGCATGGCTACAAATTATTGCAGAAAATAATCATCAGTGGTATACATTATAATCGGCAGATCAATATAACAGCAAATAATGCAAAATAAAGCTACTTATTTTTCATTCAGCAGGAAACAGTTGAAAACAGATCCAATGATTGAAAAAAAGGTTGAAAACTGATAATGGTCGAGTCAAACCTGTAATGGCTTTTGAATGTCCTCTTAGATGCTGAATTATTGAAGGTGGCTCTGATACATGACAAACAGCCAGACTTCCGTCCGACGAACCATATGCAAGTAATTCAGAACTCATATGCCCAAACTTTAAGATGGTAACTGAAAAAGAAAATTCAATTAGTTAATGCCTTTGGAAACTCATTTTTTCATCGAATCATATAAAGAAATATATTTACAATGCCCATATATAAACATAATTTTTAGTTTCAATTTAACAGATATAACCTGAAGCTTTGCAGTGGTCAAAGATGCAATGCATCCCAACAAATGAATATGCAGGCTCAACATGCCCAAACTGGTGATCTGCATCATTTGAGCTGAAACTTGAGCGGTGACCAGATGAAGGAAAGAAACCTCTGAGGTCCTGCAAAGAAAAATAACTCCTTTATACAACCTTATGTTTGATTCAAGTTATAGCATTAATTTAGTTCAAAAGTTTCAAAAATTTAAGCCCTGCCCCGGTATGGAACCAGCAAAGCAGCTCAAACACACTAAAAAACAAGAACAAGAACAGTCAAAAAAGAAATATTTTCTTTAGCTACCAAATGCGTATCTCAATTTGAAATATGTATGTATGTATATCTCTATATTCTCCTATTGCCCAAACGGAAAGCATAAAATCAGAATTAGAATAACATCTTAAATACTATGTGGAGAAAAAGGTATCTCTCTACGCAAGAACACCAAGATTAACAGAAAAGCAAATGGTGCTGGTCTACTGCGTTGCAGACGATCAAGGTTTTAATACTCCACATCATGTCCCAAAAAATTATATACTACAAGACAACATTAGTTCAAAATGCTAACCATTGTTTTCAGCATTAAAACTGTCTATATAATCTATTGTATGAAAAGATTACGGCTATCTGAAGAATTTGACTCCTAGGTCTTGCTTGTGTTGGATTTACCTACAACTTGAAAGAATTTGAAAGATTCTTTTCAACTTTACTGAGCCCGTCTTGTATTCTATATTTATTCACTAAAATATGTGCGTACGGTATACATGTCACATTAAAACCTTATTCATGTGCATTTTAAAACTCTTTCCAATTATCTCAGCCACTTATTGATGCGAGAGGCATATTGGTAAATTATTCATTGCAACTACAGCTGAATCAATTAGCTTATAGACCAAACTATCTTAAAAATCTCAAGACAGTCAAAACTTTGGACGACATTTTTGTAATTTACTGCTTTCGAATCATGCAGTTAACAACAAAAAACAGGTATATGATCAAATGAACCAAAACCAAAATTTTCAAATATTAAGTTGGTCACTAAGTAAAATTCATGCAACAAAATAGTGAAAATATAAGAAAGTAAAACTTCACAACATGAAGGACAACCAAGAATATACAATTGACGTCTAATTGAAAGAAATAATTAAGCTCATAAAAGCAGGTGCAAAGAGATGACCACAATTAGGAGACTATTAAATTGAAATTGATTGAAGTGGCATAAACTCGGCGGTTTTATTAGAATATGTAAATGTATACAAGCCAACAAACGTTGTGCTTAAAGCTAGGCTTGTGAAGTCATGACTTTGCAGAAATATCATCATAAACAGAAATAGTAGAATACAAAACAGGATAGATATACAAACCCGGCTAGAACTTTGGCTCTCTGAATCAAACAAAATAGAGTGGGGGCCTTGAGATGAGGCCCAATGCCCACTGAAATGAAAGCATTACCTTCACGTTAGAATTTGATTAACAATAGAAAATGGTATAAGTTTGAAACCACAATTTGGGTGCGGTGCGAAAAGAAATGAAAACTAGTATTAACGTATAAGAGTTGTAGAAGTAAAAGATTAATGAGAAAAAGAGTTCACTACTTGGAAACCCCAAGTAATGATTTCAAGAAGACGAATTTAAATTCAATAGATTTAAATGGACACATAATGTAAACAAAGAAATCTACCAAGCGCACTTACCCACAATAGTGGTTAAGGGTTTAGTTTCCCACCATGAGGTCACAGGTTTGAATCACACATATTGCTTTTTGGCCTCAACTACCCCGAAAAAAAAAAAAAAAATTAAAAAAAACTATAAAAAATTATTATAAATTTCCACCTAGTCTGCTTGAGCTAAATCAAGTAATAGTTCAATTTTGCATCGTTGATTAAAATCTTTAGAACAATTTCCAACTCAATAAGATGAAAGATATTAATGAAATTTTCAAATATACAAAATAATTCATATGAATTCCCTCATTGATAAATTAAAGGAAGATATACATACATACCATTCAATTCCTATGTATTTACATATATAACACCAAAAACTCAATGCTTACATACATACCACCATACCTATAAATGAAAATGTATATTCAACTTTAAAAATTAAAATGATGGTATTTTTTATGTAATATGAAAGATTTAGCTGGTATAAATGTAAAAAATAAAGTTAAGTTGTTAGATGTACATAGGAATTGGATCGTATGCATGTAAATGCCCTTAAATTAAAACAAGTCTACATTTTTTTTTTGTTTTACATTAAGGCATGCTATTAGATTATTTACATACTACCTATTAGTAATTATTTTCCACATAGTTGATTTAGCAATATTATGGTGATAACAAAGATGAGGATGAGCACTTGGTTTAGGGCAGTCAAAAAGATTCTAATGTTCACAAACAACTCATGTTCGGCTTGTTAAATAGCTCGTATTCAAATCGTTCATTAAGCGAGCCGAACATGAACAACCCTATGTTCGATCATGTTCAACTCATTCTAGCTATATATATATATATATATATATTTAAATCACCATGTGTCGCAAGCCTTGGCATGTTGGTGGTGTGGTCACTGTAAGTCCCTTCAGGTCGAGGGTTTGATCCCACCATGGCGCGGGGGCTCTGAAATTATAGGCACATGGCGCGGGCTCTCATCATGCGGTCTAAATACGCATGGGAAATCAATATTTGGGTCTCTGTCAATATATATATATATATATATATATATTTAAATCACCATTGCTCATATGGTCATGTGATTATGCGTCTTTATCTTATAAGAACAGTGCAGGTTTGAATTCAGCACCTTACATATATTTTTCTAATTAACTTAAATGAGCCAACTCGAGCCAAACACAAGTTGAAAATGAATACGAATATTTTTTCGAGTCGAACACGAATAGATTATTCACGAGTCCTTTCGAACATTAGACAATCTCGACAAAAAACCTATAAACGAGCCAAGCACGAGCACATGTTCAGCTCGCTCAAGCTCGGCTCGTTTACACCCCTATTGGGTTACAACTCATTATAGTTGACAACCTCAAGAGATTTGCATTTTCAGCTCTTGATTTCAAACAAAACTAGTTAAAATAAATGTTGCATTCAACTCATCCACAATTTTTAAGCATTTTCGGTTAATAATAACATGATTCAAATCCTTTCAAAAGTCTGGTTGAGCAAGTTCAACAATATTTGAAGAACTTTTGTGGATGAACCTACCCTAACCTAAGGTTAGACAATCCTCTAAACAGAACTCATATTTCTCGAGTTTAGAGTGGTTAAAAATAAACTTATAGAATGGATATATTCTAAATCAAGCTGACAAGAATTAATTTATTTTAAAATCATTTTGGTAGAATTGAAGATAAGACTTGAGTGTTAGGGATTGGTTTATTGAGTATGCAAGGACATCTAAGCAATGTACAAAGTTACCTCAAATTTATATAGCATACATATAAATATATGTTTAAAATATTTCAAGACAACTCAAACAAAGGTTTGATTAAGCCTCCCAGAACGGTAACTCAAGTAGAAAATCGAACTAAGTCATTCATCCTTGCTTGAAACTCAATTCAAGATATTCAAATCTATTTAGATCCAACCAAAAATCCAATAAAATTTCAATCAAGGGTATTCTTACACTTTCAGTGAGAAGACTGGCTATAAACAAATTCATGTATATATTAGAGCTTGGTAAAAATAATAAAAGACTAAATATTTATCTAATAAAGCCATACGCAGATAAGGACTTACATTGTAGAGAATCTTTCGCAATGGAGCTCAACTAACCACCTTCACAAATACAATATTTGACTATTAGTTGGATTAAAGCTTCTTTTTCTATTACAAATTTGTTAATTAGTGCATAACCCATGCCTAGGAAAGCTTTACTAAACATGAGATTGAATGTACATTGCAGCCCCGCCTGCTAATTTAGCTTATGTAAGAGATAACTCCCTCAAATATTGAGAAAATTGAACAAATAAATAGAAGGCCACATTGTTATCCAAACTCAAAATCTTTTGAGAATAATACATTAAAACAATGTTTTAATGTCTAGCCTTCTTAATATATTGCTTATAGCTATACTCCTTAAGAAACTAACTTCTTCATGTTATGAATGATTATAGGAAATAAGTGGTTGGATTATGGTTTTTGTAAAAGATTATCTTTTGATATCAGATTAAAATTGCATCAACATTCAGAATTAACTTTACCAATTGAATAATCATAATGCTTGCAAAATATAAAGTGAAAAATAGAAAAAAGGTGTACAAAAAGCCAAATTGTTCGAAAATCAAAATTAAACCACCTAAAGTGATTGATATAAATTAGTTCAAGTTTACGTTTAGCTAGATTTAGGTTTAAGAGATTACAAAAACAACAAGTCTTTATCCCACTAAGTGGGGTCGGGGTCGGCTACATGAATCATCGGCTACATGAATCATTTTTATCCATTGTGTCCTATTGAGTGTCATATTTTCATTTAATTTTAATAGATTAAGATCATTTTTTATACAATATATCCTCTACCTCTGTCTTTCTTAACATAAGTCGAATCTAAAACTTATACTCTCCTAACTCGATCATCAGATGGTCGACGTTTAATGTGACCAAGCCATCTAAAACGATTACTCTCTAATCTTGTCTGTCACTAGAGCTACACCAACCCTATCACGGATATATTTGTTTCGTAGTTTGTCTCCAATTTTCAAGCCACTCAATCACCTAAGCATTCTCATCTCAGCAACACTTAACTTTGCCATATGCTTCTCTTTTAAAGGCCAACATTCTGCGTCATAGAGCATTGCAGGTCTCATCACCATCTTATAAAATTTGCCTTTCGGTCTAAGCGGTACTTTTCTATCGCAAAATAGGTTTGATGCATTCCTCCACTTCGACCAACCAACTTGAATTCTGCTAATAACATCCCCATCTATATCAACATCACTTTGAACAAAAGACCCGAGATATCTAGAGCACTCACACATTTTAATGATTTGATTATTCATTGTTACAACTTTGTCACTGGAGCAACTACTACTAAAATTACATTCAATGTATTCAATTTTAGTCTTCTCAAACGAAGGTCTTTAGACTCCAATGTAGACCTCCACAATTCAAGTTTTTCCTGAACCCTAAACCCTAAACTCTTTCTCTAGTCTTATCCACAAGAAGGATATCATCAACGAAAAGCATACACCAAGGTACATCCTCTTATAAATGTCCACTAAGAGCATACATAACTAAAGCAAAAAGATTTGGCTCGATTCAGGTTTAAATTTTTTTGAACAAAAAATAAACCAAATAAATTAACCATAACATATATAATCATAAAACATGTTCCAAAATTTCATTACATAGCAACCTTATAGCAAATTCAAGTACAATCACAACTCTTATTTGATATACTTTATGAAACATTTTAACTACTTTAATGGTCCAATTTAGAATAAATTTTCAAGCCACTATTAATAAAACATTAATTTCAACATAAGCGAACCAAATTAATCTGAATCAAAATTGATAAACCATATTTAATATATTTGTTTTCTTAAATTGACAACTAAGCCAAAATTGAACAAATCAAAATCAAATGAATTTTATTGATTTGGTTTGGTTTGGCATAATTGCAATTTGGTTTTAATTTTGTCTGATTAGGGTTAAATACAAACATGTTTTAACAAGTTTGGCAACAAATCGAATTGCGCACACACCACAATCTTGTTGAATAAATGAGGTAACAGTTGAAAATCTAAAACATCAAAGAATAGCATTTGATAAAAGATTATAAAATATTTTTAAAAATATTAATATGATATATGAGTCAATTTGCAAAACTATCTCATCATGTTTAGACATTACAAACGTCAAATACAGATTAAAGTGATTTTAAGGAAAGAACATCCATAATGATCTTCCAAATTCACTTGTCACTCTAAAAATCTTAAAGGAAAAGTCACCCTTCAAATTCAACCTTTTAATTTAACCAAGCAATAAGGCATGAGGAAAGCTTAATTGTTGCATAATGTAAAGCTAGGCCATCTCTATAAAACAATATGACTACAGGTAGCCCAAGCTTTAAAGTTTGCTAGCATTCTTACCTTGATAGAAACCAAACGAGAACACACAAAGTTTCCTATGATAGCAACCACAAGGATGAATATTATGCTAAAGATCTTCAAGCATGTTAAAACACTATTTATGAAGAGGAGCTAGATGAGAATATTGAAGAGAATATCTACCTTAGTGAAATCATAATAGAAACAATCTTAAAAACCCCAAAACACATAAAGACAATGAATTTTATGAACTGTTAAAAAGATTTAAGGTGGAATTTATTAAAAAAAAGACAACTACTTAAGATAAAAGGCAAGATTCAAATGTCCCTTTGGATTGGTTCTCCATGATACTAGAGACTCTCAAAAAAGTTAAAATTAATACTGGAAGGATGAGAGAAAATACTTGGAAAAAAATCAATGAAATAAACTTCAATTTTCTTATTCTACATGAGTCAATCATTGTTTAAATTGAGCTATTTTTATGAGGTAGTTCATATCTTCTATTTTTGTTTAAATTTGAATTAATTCCTAAGTGTCACTTTCATCTGTATAAATAGAGATCAAGTTTGTAATCTACAACTAAGTATTAATTGAATAGAATTGTATCTCCATTCTTCTAAACTTTAGTTTCTTTCACCTCACTTTCTCTTCTATGTTTCATCAGTTCCTACACCATCGGCCGCTAAATCCCCCTCTGCCAGTAATTAGACTTTTACCTCTTCAACCGCAAATCATCCAATAGCTCAACCAACCATCAACCTCCTTGACCAATCATGAAGCCGTTGTTCTTAATTGCAACCACCTTCTTGTTGTGACCCAAAATAGTGAATTTGTTCAACAAGGCAGAGAACTTGGAGAAGGTCCGTTATCCTTTAAAACATTTGATAGAAATCTTAATTTTTTGTCTTGCAACTTTTAGTAAAATTCATAAATCTTCAGCAACACATTTTGAACCATATTTTGGAACCAAATTAAGTTCCAACTTATAGAAAATTTTTCATGGTTAAACTAGGACTTCAAGTGATACTCTAGGTGATTCTATGGAGATTAAGTCAACAACTATGAGAAGAGATTATAGAGAATTGAAGATCTTTTCAACGTGGAAGAGCTCATGAATCAAATAGTTGATTAGATAGCCATATATAAGGAAACTTTGGCAAAACAAATTGTTGATCAAATGGCTATCTTTTAAACTCCGGTTGCTGAAATAGTAACCACATTCACTAGTTCAAACAAAGGAAGATACATAAGCTAGAAAAAATCAAACTGCAGAGAGGAGTCCATCAACAAGAATAAAAATTGAGAAAAGTACAAAAAGGAAAGAAGATCTCCTAAAAATAGAGCAGAATTGGAGTTGCCTTATTTTGAAAAGAAATATAAAGCTAAGATAATTTACAATTAACTTGAGTTTATAGAAACTTATTATGTAGTTTATGATTACTCAGATTAAAAAAAATGCACTTGTTCATTTTCATATTTTGTCACAAGCAGGTGCGGTGGAATTCACAATCTAGAAACAGTAATCAACAAATCTTTGCATGATTAGCATTTAAAGATCGTTAAAAACTCTATCCCACCAATTCCGAAGAGGAAAAGTGGACTTAATAGCCAAATTTGATGCATAATTATAAACAAAATATGCAAGAAAATGCGATAGAATTTATAAAGTAGATGACTAGAAAGGAATTTTTTGCAAAAGAAAAATATATATTCATGAAATATATGGCATGGCTTCATTAAGGTATTCACACATAATTGAAGATTCTTGCAGTTGATGACCTTGAATCTAGTATAAAAGCTATTCTACTTGTGAAAATAAATAGGTCACTTTTCATTGGATAGAAACCCCAGCTTTTAGTTTTAAGGAAGAAGATGAATGCTACAGGTTCAACTATAGAGGAGGAAAATAATAAACTGTTAGCCCCATAAGCTTTTGTGACTCATTAATGATTCATTGTAATTTTGATGGTAACAAACCTTATGTGGTATCATCTAATGGTTTGCTAACTGTCTATATAGATTATTCAATTAGTACCTACTAAGGTAATGACAACAATGTTCATTAGGATAGCTTTGGAGCTTTAATTGCATGTATTTATACTCAAAAAGAACAATTCAAGAAGATCCTAGTGTAAAAGCTTATCCAAGATTGTTTTAGCCGAATGTGTTGTTTAAGATTCACTGTAAATTATTTGAGTTTACTTCAAAGAGCTATGAACAAAATAATTAAAATTGGTAAAAAAAACCTTTAATTATAAATATATCAAACTTTATATTCAAAATTATTTATATGCACTTCTAAACCATTTATATGCACATTAAATTTGGATAATACTATGCCATAAATCAAAAAATGCTCCTAGCCTAATCATAAATACAATATAGGAGGATCATACAATCATGCATATAATTGTAGTTTTGTAAGCCCCAGGATAACTTGTTAAAGAGCTTTATTACACCAACCTCAATTTGCAAATATTGACTTTGCCAAAAATACAATGTACAAGCGATCAAAATAAAATTCATCAAAATTTGAGTTGATCATATAAAAAATTGAGGTTCGTACATACAACAAGGGATTGTCTATATGATCATCCAGTACTTAAGTATAATAGCTGGCTTGCATTAATTGGACCTTTGGGCTAGGTAGAAAATCGTTGAAATCTGCCTTAGCCTTCCCCGATTGCTTATAAACTACTTCTCTAACACCATTCTAAGTGATATGAAAGAAATGTTGAAGTTCTGAGCATATATTAAGAAATCAATTAAAGAAAATTCAAGTGTATATTAGCTAAAGTCCCTTTGGTCCTTGAGAAGTTCTCTCACTTAATCTCTTAAATTGCTCTATTTAGATTGCATTTTTATTGTATATTTAGCAATCATTATTCAAGAACTTGTATAATTATATTTTATTTGTGAATCTTAGAGACCCCACTTAGTGGGATAAAGGCTTGTTGTTGTTGTTGTTGTTGTTTTCGTTGTTGTTGTGAATCTTAGAGACATTGCCAAAGGGTATGAGCAGTTTGGATGAAATCATCTCTTATTTTTAAATTTTGGATAGTGACTGATATGAATTTGTATTTGGGCAGCATTTGCCCATAAGTAGAGTGCATAAACCATGATAATTTCTATGCCAACTCAAAGAGTAAAGGAGTATGATTAGCTAGTAGTGACTCTTGTTAGAGGAATTCTAGCTACGAGGAGAAGTAAGCATAGAGGAAGGTCGTTTAGGTGTTGAACAATGTAAAAACATTTTGTCTCGTTACCCAATAATTCCAGAGGTATCGCCTATGAAGAAAAAATCCAATTTCCGTTTCTTCCATGGTTTAGGTTGTTATAATCAAGGAATTTATCATAATGGGCTAAGTATATAAACTAAATAACTTATAAACAAATATCACTGCCACATAAACCATGCAAATTATTGTTACTCCTATAATTTCGAATAATTTCTTGTAGACATACTCAATTAATATTGGACCATTTTACATACAATGGCAAAAGAAACCTATAAAAAGCAGCACCAACCTACAAATATAGTTAATCAATATTTACTCTAATAATTTGGAAAAGACTTCTTAGTTGTGCAAGCTTTGGCGAATCGTACTTCTTCTCATGAAGTTTTCAGATTCATGGCTTTTGTGAAACCACATGCAATGTTATAAAAAGATGCACCATACATGACACTCCAGGCAAGAAAAACAGCTAATAGCATTAAACTGGATTTTCTAGCTGCAAAATCTAAGATGCCAAAATGTCATGCAATTTTAAAACAAGCATCCTATTTTCATCTGAAATTGGATATCATATTCTGGATTAAGTTCAATATAAATATATTTCCCTTTCAAATCAGCTGCAAAGTTCTCATGGTAACCTACAGCTTTTCTCAAGTTCAGAACCACCCTCCAAAAAGAACAATATCAAGTTGGAATTGACATTATTTACAATAGCTCAAACTCCACAAATTTCAAATCAATTGGACAACCACAATCCACTGCAGTTTTGAACAAGTTGCAGGATCAAACCTGTGACTTGCTGTGCTTATATAGCTCTGTGTGATTTGACTCTCCCAATTCCTTGGCCTTCGGATGAAATTTCGATAAGCAGCATAGCCTCTCCTATTGCACCGCCAGTCCTTCAATACAATAGAATGTTAAACTACATACTACAAAACAATAACTAAGCATTGTGTCAACATTTTGAACATAGATTTTATTGCCACTATTTAAATCCTTGGGAATCTACGACAACCGATTGCAGATTACAAAACGAGCGCATAAGCATCAATTCAAGTGTCAGTCTGCAAATTAAGCGGCATGCTAAGGTACCCTGCACAATTACAATCAAAACAAAAAGGATATATCATGAAGCAGGTAAATCCGTAGAGTTTGTGCTCATAAGTGAACGTTGGTAGCCATGGCCATTGGAACGGAAAATTGCACTGGCGGATCTTGGAACTTGAACACTGACCAGTACTATGCCCAGATCCAGATCTCACTACTTTCAAAACTGGTTATGCCCAATAAGAACAGCTAAAGCCCTAACACTAGAATCAGGAGCTATGCTACCTTGCGCTGCGGGAGTGAATGAGCCTTGCGATGGAGAAGAAGACGACGGATCGCAACGTAGTTGGGGTCATGGTGGGACATGGGAGGCTGTAGCAGGCAGCTCACGAACACTGGATCCGTTTCCGGCGGCCATGGGACTTTCTCCTCGTCCATCTTCAAATCCACCACTCCAGCTCCGCCGCCGGTCTCCTCCATTACTAGCTCGCTGTGTTTGTAGCCCTCACCCTATCTATGTATCTCCTCCCATGAAGGAGATAGAAAACGGCGAAAGATTTTAGGGAAGAAGGCCATTCATGGATCTCTTCTTGCCACCGGGAGCAGATTCGCGCTACAGTTAGACGAAGGATTTTCGAAAAATAAGAATTTATCGATGAAAATTTTTGAAAAAAATAAGATAATAAGGATAATGATAATTGCATACAAACCACCTCAGAAGAGATTGATATCGATAAATTAATGAACCAACTGATTTTTACTTATGTCACAATCAAATCATTAAAAATTTGATAAAAATGAAAAATATAAGTTTGGGTCTTACCCTCAATTTTGACATTCTGAGTGAGAATTTAAAAAATGAATGAGGATGATTGTTACATATCACTCAATTTTTAAGATATGAAACTATATATTTCATTTTAAGAATTTTAAAATTGTGATATTTTTATGTTATGAAAAATTTGAGGGGTATAAATATAAGAAAAATGAGATTAGGTAATGTTGAAATATTCTATAAAATAATTTAAAAAAAATTATATTTTTTTCATAAATAAAATAATATAATTCATAAAATATTAAAGCTATATGAAAACCAACTACAATGTTAGGATTGCATCTAATTTATTGATGGAATATGAAACACAAGCATTCTTTTAGGGTTGTAATAAATGCGCATAATTTGTAAGGGCAACACTAAGGGTCTGTTTTGGACAGCTGCAGCTTATTGGATAATCTGATGATAAACTGGTTAAAAATAATTTACTGATAAGTTAGGTGCGGTAGCTATTACAATTTTTTATTTTTTTGGAAAAGTCAGACCGCAGCCAGAAAGCTGCCACCGCACCTAGACAGGTGCGGTGTGAAAACGTTGTTTTCAGCGTTTTGAAAACGCATAAGCTGCCAAAACGCAGTTTACCCAAACAGGCCAGGTGCGTTTTCAAAACGCCACCGCACCAAATAAGCTGCCCCAAACGGACCCTAAATCTAATAGAGCATTGAGCTTGCACTAAAGACAAGTTCAATACTAAGTGCAATGAATTAGAGCATGTAACATGTGGAATTTTGATTTGATTTGAACTTTTTTACTAGGTTAATTTAATGTTCACTTAATTTTTATTGAAACCAACATCAATTTGTTTTATGATGGGGTAAAGTTTTAAAAAAATTAGTACGGGCGTAAATTGACTATTTTAAAAAATGTCATTATAGGGGTTGAATTTAAATGCTAAAATTTTAGAAAATGTATAAATTAGCTTTTTGAAGAATAACATCAATATTTTTTAGACTTATTGATGTGTGCTAGAAAAATCGCGGCAGAATATTAACAGTTTAACATCTTAGCTTGGTATGAAGATTTAGCACTCACTCAGAAAAAGAGAAAACAACTAATAAGGACACAAGAAGTTTTTATGTGGAAAATCTGGAAAGAGAAAAATCACGGGGACTAACCCAACTGAAAAATTCTACTATAGAAAGATGATTATTGCTGCAACGACTTGTTCCACAACCGGTAAAATGTTACCAAGTTTTCCAAGTTATAACGTCGACTCACGACTCCGATAGCGATTGGCGGCTTCGGATATGTGGTAGGAGTGATGTTAGACTTTAGTTTAGTTCAAAGCTTCAAACTTTTTCTCAAGCTTGAACAACTCCCCCCCCCCCCCCACACACACCACTCATGAGAGGGGCGGGGCTCTATTTGTAGACTTATCGGTCCAATTATTATTGGAATATGAATTACTTTGATCGAACGATATTTGATGAATAATTAAGTATCTTAATGAAGTCAAAATTGAGTGATATTTGGCTCGTTGGATCTGTTTTGTCAAAACGCTCAAATTGACTATAGACTTGTCAGAATCGTTACTCGTTTGACCTTCTAAATATGTCCAAAAAAACTTTTAATAGTTGTTTAATGACTTGATCTAGGTTTGATTTAGTTTGAATTTGACCAATGTTTGTAACATTGGGTTTTTTGTTATGGAGTCGGTCAATTTGACTATAAGTTTATTGAAATCGGACTTCTATATGACTTTTTTATTGAGATTTGAATATTTCTTGCTAAAAAAGTTACCTCGTGATCCGTATCATGTCTTGATATTTGTGTCAGATGAAATTTTATTGATGGTGTATCACTTATATTTAATCTAAAACTCAAAGGCTTTAGTGAATGCACAAATTGAATATTTTATGTGAAAAATATATTTGGTTCTCCTCTAACATCATGTCCCTCTCTAATTGCCCTTCAAATTTGAGTTAGGTAGCTAGGATTTGACTGAATAGTTATCTCTCTCTCACTCTCTCTCTCTCTTTCTCTCTCTCTCTCTCTCTCTCTCTCTCTCTCTCTCTCTGTATATATATATATATATATATATATATATATAAGGAATGGTCTAAGGCTATTAGATGAATCATGGTCATTCCTAGGGTGCTAAATATTCGAGTACAAACGGGAAAATTAGAACCTGTGACCTTAGGAAACTTACAACCTTTAGAGAGACTGCTCTACCAACAGGCCACAGTACGCGCACTATCGATCTATCTATCTATCTATATGTGTGTGTGTGTGTGTGTGTGTGTGTG